CAGAATTTTAAGGATTAATAAAATATCAAACCTGTAAAATAACATACATAATGGATGAAAAATACATGCATACTTACAAATGACATATTATAAAGAAAAGAAACGTTCTAAATATCAGATTTCAGTTTTATTGTTCATTCGTCAATATAAGTATCAAAAAACTTAAAAAAAAAAAACATTATGTAAAAAGTCCATTCCGAATGAGATTATTAACTAAATAAAGATTATAAAAAAGAATATGCAGACGATAAGTAAAGTATTCAGTAAAGATGAGTTCATTGTCTAATGTTTTACAATAGATCAATTATATATATATATATATATATATATATATATATAATCTTAAGCTTACGAAAAAAAAATCTCCCTGCTGATAAATATAAAACCGTTATATGTATTTTTCGTTGTTTCTTTTTTAGCTTACATATGTCAACGCACACATAGATATCTCATCTCATTTTTCTTTCATTGCGCTCATCATATATAAAATGTACCTATACATTTCAGCCTTTCCATTAATCTTCTATGTGTAAAAAATTAGGTAAGATAGTGAAAATGTCATAATAAGTATTTTTTAATGGAAATGCTTATAATAAGATTTAAAAATACAATAATAATTTGAAACTCTATTTTACGTTTGCTATTGTTAAGATACGCAAGAAGAAGCACGATTCGTTTGCAACTAAATGTCAATTTTTTAAAATATCGGATTGCTGAGTTATTATATTTTTATTAAATATTCTCATTTATTAAACTTTGCAATAATTCCACATATGTACATATGTTTCCATAGATATTCAAATTATGATGTACCAATTATTATAATAATTGCATTTAAGCAACGAATATTCTCAATAAAACTTATGCCCTATATTAAATACAATATTAAACTAATAATTATACTATATAATAATATTTAAATAATAATATAATAATAATATAATAATATAACTAATGATATTTAAACTATATATAAGGGATAAATTAATAAATTTTCGGATATTATTGTTTGAATATTTATAAAAGAAGAAATTTATGTTTAATATCAAAAGGCAAATTTTTTATAAACTTATTATATTTTAATATTACATAGAATCAACTTCATTATAGTAAATTCAATTAATACAAATAGAAATTAAAAATTCAAATTCAAATAGATTTTTATGAATAATAATAGACAAATAATATTTATAACAATTTGTAATACAGAAATTTTAATTATTATACATTAATTTTAAATTTTAATAAGATACTTTAAAATACAATTTATCAATATTTTTAAAGTGATTACAAAAACTAAAATATATGAAAATTTCAAAGGAATATTCCATATTATTTAATTTCTTATTTTTTATAATGGTAAATGAATTTTCATACATCTAAATGAAATATTTAAAAATATGAATTATTCGTATCGACAAAATTCGTAAGTCACAACAATCATAAAATTTATTTACATTTTATTCTTAAATTTTTTTGACATACATTAATTTCATGTATAATTATTATATCATGTATATAGATAATGTATATATCATGTACATTATAACGCTAAATATTAAACTTAGATGTATAAATATATGAGATGAATATTATTCGTATAATATTTTTCTAATTGTTAGTTGTATATTATATAAGATATAAATTGGAATTTTTACACTATTTTTATTTGTTCCCTTTTATATAGAAATTAATTCAAAAATTGTGGAAAATACATTATTTATATTTTGGAAGAACATATTTTATGTATTTTTCTATATAGTTGCTCATAATTATTGAATTACTAAAGTCATGTTTTTTAATGCCATATCTTTAATAAATTAATAAATTGAATATTACAATTAAAAACTATCAAAATAATAAATAAAAAAAACTACTATTTATTTAAATCAACAAATTACAATGTGCTTGAATAGTCGAATAAAAAAAAAAGGATAGATACATTTTTATGATCAAAAATGCAGTAAAAAGAATAGTTCAGAATGTTTAGTTTTAAGTCCTTTGAAAGAAAAATTTTTGTTTAACAATTAATGAATTGGTAACTCGTTTTATATGAAATTATTATATAATGTGGCTCTATATCGGATTAAATTGTTTTATTATCTGCTTATGTTATCATATTATCGTATCCATATCTTTATAAAAATTTATATTATTAATACAGTCGGATACGTTGTTACAAAACTTATAAAATATACATACAAAATATTTGAAATTCAGGACGAAGGACGTCTGGAGACAAAAAAAAGTTTTACAAGATTATTTGTAAATTACTATGATCTACTAGCATACAAATGTATTTTTGAAGTACTCGGTATTTTTGACGTTCTCGGTAAATTAAAACTTCAACAAAATCTTTATTGAAAAGCCTTATCTGTTAATACTGACTTTCTAAAGTTGAAGTACCACTAGAAAGTAATGCTTTGCGAGATATGGTGCTAACAAGCTTACAAAGTAAATCAACATTCTTACAATAGTAGTATTTTTTACTAACATTAGAGATGTATAAGTGTTAAAATAATACATTTATAGCGTGGCAGCATTTTATAACATTGATGAAAATGAAAAATTAATGGTAAAAGCTATATATGCTAAGTCAATAAAGCAAGTAAATGGAGCGCGTGTTTAAAAATTCAACCTTATCATATATACATATTGTTACGTATTCCGATCATAAAAAGTTCATAAAATATTCGAAAAGTTTCATTCTGAATTTCTAATAGATTCTACGAAATTTATTTTTCTCAAAGCCAAGCAATTGATTTTCACTATTGCTGCAATATTCCTTATGAAAGGTTCTACACCGCCAAAGATTATTAAAATATTAAAATTATATAGATAAAAATTAATTTAGCATTCGTTACACTTCGTATTATTAAGAAAATATAATGTACATTAGTAGGTATTTTGGTTAGAGGTAATAATAATATTCGTGATCAAGACGGAAAATTGTTGATTAAAAATTTCGTTATTAAGATTATTAAACGAATTCAATAAGATCATAAAACTAGCTGTTAAAGGGGGAAAAGTCTCTCTAACTAGAGTATAAATAATAAAATTTAATATTTAATAATAAAATCTATTCGACGAAAGAAAAAATAAGAGAGAACCTCTTCATGAACTCTCAAAATCTTATTAAATAATATATTAGAAAAACAATATTTAAACATTATAATTAAGATGCCGTTTTGAAAGGATAAAGTGCGTTAGATTAATATATCAGTCAACAATTTTAAACAATTATAGAAGTATCGAAAAAAGTCTATTTTAACGTTCCTTTAAATCTTAAATATGAATAATTGTTATGCAATGATTTGATTACGTTGACGCGTTGATTACGAACTACAATGTTTTTCAAGCTAATTCTGCTGATTTAGGAGCCAAGTCTAACAATTGAAAAATTTATATTCGTGCAGTGCCTTTCTTAAGTAAAATAAAATCGAGAAAATCGTCATTTAAAAATTCAAACTAACAGGCATATAACTGAAAGACGATAAGAAATTCAAACAGTCGGATAGGTGTCGAGCTTGCGAGAAAATATCTCTAAATCATTAGGATTTCCCGATAATTTAGATAATTTAATAATCTTAATCATCGCCAAGACACGCAAGAATGTTTATATATCAGAAGAAAAGTAGGATAACTAAGTGGAGAACGTCACAAATAAAACACCGTGGTTAAAGATTAAAATTTTAAAAAGGTATTTAAAAAGGTATTCAGTTGAATCTAAATCAATTTAAATACAAAAATTACTTTTTCCACTCACTTAAAAAATACGAAATATAAAAAAAAAATTTTTAACCAGGTTTAAACTAATTTTTATAATAAAATAAAAATTAGTAGTACTGATTCATATTGTCATGAAATTGTGACATTTATACTTTCACATTATTTATTAATCCGCTAACTACAGTAATTTCCAATATAAAGTAAAAAATAGATCATGAAATGGTAAGTATTTAAGTATTTAAGTTAAGTTTCGTTGAAATAATAAAAGACAAAATTAGGAGTAAAAAATCATTTTATCAATATGTGCTAATTTACAAAAAGTATTGATTAATATTCTCATTGACATGTTCAAAGAATATAATATATACTGTATCACACTAGTTATCTACAATTATTAGCAGAAAGAAATTTTGTATCATAATGTAGATGCGGTTAAATATCTACAGACATATAATTAATCGTATGATAAATAAAATTACTCGAAAAGAAATAATTAATTCCATCCACAGAAATATTTCTTCTGCAATTTAATAAACTTGTAGAACATTGCATTTTTACAATTCATATATTAAAAATTCATTATTTATGCACATACATTCATTGTACATTATGTGAATGAAATTTGAAAATTAAATTAAGAAAAAAATATTTAATATTAATATAGAATAATAATATTAATACATAGGAACATAATAGTTTTTAGACAGAAAACATAATCTTTAATGTACATTACTATAAAATCTTATATGGTATACAAGAAATTGAACTAAGAATTGTAATTTCCAATTTACAAATAACTATAACAATGACATATTTAAACAAAAAAAATAACAATAATATAATAATAAATACTTTAATCATTTAAAAAAAAAAAAGTTGTAATTTAGATTTAATATACAAGAAAATTCTCTAAACCAATTTTAAACTTATATCTTATATATTACATATATATTATATATTTAAACTTATATAATATAAATTAGACTACTACAAAATATACAATATTATTATTTTATTCCATAATATAGCCATTTTCACAGTAATTTATTCATAATATATTCATTATTTAAAACAAAAGTACATTATTATATAAAATCTAATAAATAAAAAAAAACAATTAATTTAAAGAAATATATAGATTTTATTTAAATTCATAAGAATTTAACCTATTAATTTTCTAAGTCTATCTGTCAGATAAAAATACTATAAGTATTTCTATAATATTATTCTAAATAAACATTAATCAAATTTCTAACTGAATGTTAAATGCCATTCATTTTAAAAAATTATAATTTTAGATTCCAAGAGAGGAATCGATAATAACTTTTCAACATAAATTACAATACTTATTTACCGACTGTTGTTCGATACCATCAATATTAAAATTATTTTCACCATCTAAAGACGTATTCAAGTGTTTTTGAAACTAAATCTGTTGACTTATGTGGAACATTCTCTGGTGATCTAACAGCTTGTGAATTCAAATGTTGATTGTAACCCGAAACCAAAGGTCGAGCATTTTGAACTCTAACCGGGGTTCTAGATGTATTTAATCCAGAAATACATGTACCCTTTGATGGTGTAGAAAATAATCTCGCACTAACATTCGATTTTGTCCGACATTCCTTATCTGCACCAAGAATAACGCCTTCATCTGTACAAGGAATAATACCTATCATAATGGAGCCAGAAACAATATTTCCATTGCAAGCGAGAGCTCGTTGAGCTTCCTGTTCAGTCGAACATTTTAAATGGATCCAATTGCTCTGTGCATGTGGTGCAGGATGTTTATCAATGACCCTTACTCTGCTTGAAATATGCGATAAAACTGTATTTAAAGCACTTGTAGGGAACCCAAAAACTGTGACCCATTGCAGTAGTCCTTGCGTAGATTCGTTGTGCGTAGTATTAATTGGTGTATCACAGGTCGGAGAATTTAAAGTATTATTGCCTGAAAATAATTATAAAGACAAGATTGATTGTAATAAACATATATTGCTAATTGGCGTACATATTGAAAATGATATAAATTCATTATAATATATTCAAAGAGATAAAATAAACATTGAATAATACTTTTTTATTCAATATCTAATTTATATCTGATTAATTTTCATTAGATAAATATGGAAAATTTTAAATGTCTTACAAAATCCTGCTCCTAAGAGTCTCGATTGGTTCATACTTTGATTATTTATCGAAGAGTTATATGAAGTTCCTAATGACTGTCGTCTTGTTTCCAAACTTTCATAGAGAGATTTTATTGGAGGTCCACCAACATGATTTTCAATGCCCATTTGCGATATATTTGCAATGTTACCTCCTCCAAACATTGCTTTCTGCCTATTTAATCTATATTCATTAGGTGAATAACTAGATACAGGAGAATGCGAGTTTCCGGGACTTGCGTGCACAAAACGAGACGATTCAGGAGTTATTACTCCTATTCTGGTTTGCTATAATAGATAATGATAATAATTAGAAAATTTTTCATATAGACGATAGATGTAAATACTTTCATAAACAAATTTCAATCGTAATAAATATTTATAAAAAATTCATTATGCTTTAACGAATATCTATCTAAAAAGTGTAATATTGATTATATATTTGTTTTTGCTAACATTGGAATATATTATTACTTCAGCATATTCTATGTCATTTATTATATTCGAAATAGCTTTCTTCTACAATTACAGATTGGAACATTCTAAATACCATCTATAAACAACAATTACCACATTGTTATCTCCGAGCAGGAATCCTGGTAAATAAGCTGAATTAGCTCCTGCGTTATTTGGAGACTGAGAAGGAGTCGTGGTTGGGGATCCCAAGGCCATTGGCTCCATCTAAAGACATTGATTATTTTTCTTAAATTATTTATAACAATTTTTTTTTCATTCACGACATATTCTAAAAAATCACATGATAGTACATAATTTGTTGATGAGCCTAATGCATTAGTTAAAATATTTTAACAATTTTTTTAGGTTATGTTATAATAAATTTCTTCATTGGACAAGACTTCTTTATTATATTAATATACTTCATAATTTAATGATGCTTTTAAATATTTTTTATTACACATAATACGACGTTTTAATTGGAAGGAAAGATATAAATTTAACCTCACGTGTATAATGAACAACGTTCCCGCTTTATAAGCAAAGAAATAAAATTATATGGATTAATCTTAAAAGTTTGGTTGGATAAGATAATAGAAACATCTTAACTCTGCATGGATAAAATTGAATTCATTTTTAGTGAAAACGAATTTACAATTTGTATTAGCACTGAAAACAAACTTGTCACTTTTCCTTATAACATACGTAGCTATGCATGTTTAACAAAATACAATGAGTTTAATATTAAACAAAAAATATAAAACAAAAAAAATACTAGAGAATGATAATTATTGTGTAATAAAGTCAATAATTTATACACTATAAAATATTTATGCCACTGTTAATCAAAAGATCACGATAATAAAAAATTCAATATTAGTCAAACAAGAATTTTTACTAAATATCAGCCACGACGTTAACTTATAATATTAATCAGCATGGGAATCAATGACGTCTTAAAATTATTATTCTTATGAAAATATTGCTTATACGAATTCATAAATAAAGTCTTTAAAAATATATTACTTTGTAGCATTTCAATTTTCAAGCTGTTCCAACGCTTTTAAGTCCCAGTCGTCCTTTCGCTTAAATAAACATTATGTCCATTACTCCAATCCAATCAGCGCCAAAATTTTCTAATAAAAATTAAAAACCCAAACCACAGATGCGCACACACGCGCACAAAACGGCAAAAGTGTGTACTGCGCAGAAGCAGAAATGCCGCGCGACGAGGCATTCGTCCGTTCGCATTGTAACGTACCTGAGGCTCCTAACTCGCTTTTTGGTTTTTTACTTAAATTCCAAATTTTTTCATTTGAAAGGTAGGCCTTGTAATCGTAAGGATTTTAAATATCACCATATATGCTCTATTGTTGATTTATATAATTATAAAAGTGAAAAACTGTTTATTGTATGGATGGTGGGTATGCAGGATGCCTACCATCAATACCAATCGTTGTGCGTTTGAACATCATTTAAATATATAATCAAATTATTTAATATCAAAGCATTAAGTTAATATATTAATACAATGCATTAATAGGAATTAATTTTCAAAATATCTTAATAAATTTAGAAGCAAGTTATATGCTAACGTGTAATTAAAATATGTGATGAATGAAAAAAAATTGTTATAAATAATTTAAGAAAAATAATCAATGTCTTTAGATGGAGCCAATGGCCTTGGGATCCCCAACCACGACTCCTTCTCAGTCTCCAAATAACGCAGGAGCTAATTCAGCTTATTTACCAGGATTCCTGCTCGGAGATAACAATGTGGTAATTGTTGTTTATAGATGGTATTTAGAATGTTCCAATCTGTAATTGTAGAAGAAAGCTATTTCGAATATAATAAATGACATAGAATATGCTGAAGTAATAATATATTCCAATGTTAGCAAAAACAAATATATAATCAATATTACACTTTTTAGATAGATATTCGTTAAAGCATAATGAATTTTTTATAAATATTTATTACGATTGAAATTTGTTTATGAAAGTATTTACATCTATCGTCTATATGAAAAATTTTCTAATTATTATCATTATCTATTATAGCAAACCAGAATAGGAGTAATAACTCCTGAATCGTCTCGTTTTGCGCACACAAGTCATGGAAATTTAAATACTCCTGTATCTAGTTATTCTAATTCTGATAATAGATTAAATAGACAAAAAGCAATGTTTGGAGGGAGTAGCAATTCAAGTATATCGCAAATTAATATTGAAAATCATGTTGGTGGACCTCCAACAAAATCACTTTATGAAAGCTTAGAGACAAACCGACAGTCATTGGGTAATGCCAATAACACGCCAGTAAATAATCATAGTATGAACCAATCGAGACTCTTAGGAGCAGGATTTTGTAAGACATTTAAAATTTTCCATATTTATCTAATGAAAATTAATCAGATATAAATTAGATATTGAATAAAAAAGTATTATTCAATGTTTATTTTATCTCTTTGAATATATTATAATGAATTTATATCATTTTCAATATGTACGCCAATTAGCAATATATGTTTATTACAATCAATCTTGTCTTTATAATTATTTTCAGGCAATAATACTTTAAATTCTCCGACCTGTGATACACCAATTAATACTACGCACAACGAATCTACGCAAGGACTACTGCAATGGGTCACAGTTTTTGGGTTCCCTACAAGTGCTTTAAATACAGTTTTATCGCATATTTCAAGCAGAGTAAGGGTCATTGATAAACATCCTGCACCACATGCACAGAGCAATTGGATCCATTTAAAATGTTCGACTGAACAGGAAGCTCAACGAGCTCTCGCTTGCAATGGAAATATTGTTTCTGGCTCCATTATGATAGGTATTATTCCTTGCACTGACGAAGGCGTTATTCTTGGTGCAGATAAGGAATTACGCTCTAGATTAATTACTAATATGAAGCAATTTTCCACACCTGTTAAATCATCGTGCATTTCTGGATTAAATTCTACTAGAACACCAGATAAAATTCCAAATGCGCGACCATTAGTCTCTGGTTACAACCAACATTTAAGCCCACAAGCTGTTAGGTCACCAGAAAATATTCCACATAAAGCCACAGGAATAGTTTCAAAGACAATTGAATATGTCTTTCGATGGTGATGGAAGATCCTTACGTTTTTGTTACTTGACGAATGCTCAAATAGCAAAATTGTGATTTCATATTAAAAACGCAATTGGTCCTTCAGTTAGAAGTTAGTCTAATGATTTTTTAATGATCTTTGGCAATATAAATTTGTGTATGTAAATATTATTCTTTAACATTAGACATCATTTATATAATTCAACTTTAATCAAGAATTTAGACAATTTTTACATACAAGTAATATTAGCCAAATAATTTTAACCATGTGCCTGTAAAAGTTTTAAAATAAGCTATTAATATTGTGATGTAAGATATTATAATCTTCTATAACAAGGTTGTAATTAAGAGAAATAAAAATTGTTTTTCAATAAATCATTTATCTTTAATGAATTTTATATTAAAGTGTAAAGACAATATGAATGAAATTGTTTACTACTATAACGATGAGAAGTAATCGGTACGATCATTTCCGTTGAAGAAAATTAAATATGTGAAATTTTTAATTTAAAATAAAAATAATTTTATGAACTGTAGAATTTGTAATGCTACAGATATAATAAGCATTAATCTTTATTTTTACTAAAAAAAATGCTTACATTATTATTCCAATAAACCTAAACCTATAAGTTAATAATGATTTAATATAACTCTCTGGACAAATAAATTTGCACGAGATTACATGATGCGTAATAAAATTAATATCTCGTTTTGTTTATAAGTTTTTAATAAAAACTATTTTAAAATTATCTTTATCTCCGTTCAAGTTACTTTGGACTTTCAATTGTAGCATTACCCAAATCTGTCATCTTTGGATATTTCACTTTTTTCTTATCTAATTCATCCTGAGCCCAAAGGATCATTTTCAATAAATTATTCAGTCGTGGGCTAGTAGATTCTTGATGTTCCATTTTTAATATTGCAGCATTTAATTCACTTGCAATCTAAGTTTAAAAATGATACGAATTAAATTGTTTGTCTGTATAGTTGTTGAGATGCAGCAGATTTTAAATATATGAATTAAGTGTACCTTCTGTCGATGTGTTGGAAGTAATAAATCACTGAAAGGACTCATTTGTGGATCGTCAAACGCTAATAAAGCTAAAGTGCGCTCTAGTTCGCTTAAAATATTTTCATCCGATTCGCCAGCTTCGCTTAATTGTTCCTGGGCAAATTGTAGAGCTTCTTCGATACGTCCAGTACGAATCAACTCAATCAAATGAAGCTGCTGCAAATGAAAGTGCAAGTATCTGTCATTATCCAATAATTCTGGATGAAGTTGGTTCACTAACTCCTTAGCCTCCTCGATACGACCATTTTGAATAGCATCTCGAATACGAATTCTATCATCCAAAGAATTTAATTCCACGGTCGGCCCAACACCGGATTCTTGCTGAAACTTTTCGGCAGCTTCTTTGAAACCCTCTAAAAATTATTTTCTCATAAATATAATAATGTATAATAAAAATCATCTGTAAATTACTATAATCATATACCTCAATACATACTGTGTAAATAGAAATTACATAAACTGGTAACGTAATATCAATTTTAGTACACATAAAACATATATCAAATATTTTCTTATACTTAAAAAATATATAAATATTCTTAATGATAAAAGCTTTGCTTACCAGTTACGAGGTAATTCATAATAAGATTATTCATCTGTACACGTTGAATATGTGAACCCTCTTCAAGTTTTGCCATCCATTCATCTTTTGACATACTGTCTTGCTTATCACTAAAACTCATTATTTTTGCAGACTCTGTGAAATAAACAAATATACATTTTCAAATAAGTATGTTCCAAATTTCTTAAGGATAATTAAATTAAATGAATATTTAATGCTTTTCAATACATTCATAATATAAAATAGAAGATCAAAAAAAGTTTCGTTGCTTTGTAACATATTTATATAATTACTAATAAGCAGAAATGCCTAAATGCCCAAAAATTTTATACCTGAAAATTTTTTATAATTATGTCTTTATATCTAAATTCAAATTTATATTAGTGATTGTAGTTAATTACCATTGAACTTCGCTATCATAACATGCACTTGAAAATGAAAATGTACAATCGAAATTGCTCCGATTCGTTAAAGTCACAAACTTAGTGGCTGTAAAATTAAAAATTTACTCCTCTACAGTATACACTGCAGAAATAATTTACAGACAAAGCTCTCACTAGCCTTTAGCCTGATTTTTACATAACTATTTTTTCTCTACCACCATGAGGAAATTTTCGTAAACAATGAAAATGTTTTGCTCTCCGATGACTCCAATACTCGTGACAATCTGAAGTTAGGCATAAGTCACTTTCGCCCTATTACAATCATTACAACGAACTTTACGACGAAGTTGAAGTTCGAGTAGACCGCACAGTGGCGGTAAGTATGTAACTTGTGATTATCATTTTTCAATAAAATAAATAGTTAATATTTATTTTACTTGATATTACGAACTTCCCTACAATCGACACTCGGATACTATTTTAACAGAATGATTGATGCATTTTGTTAAATCATCGATACACATTAATCGAATGCTATAAAATCTATGGCAATTATTTGAAATTAAATGAAAACTAATTGATTAATTTAAGTTCAATTGGCATTTGAATAATTGAAGAACATTTAATATTAATCCTTTCCTTCGTACATTTAGACGAAGCAAAGTCCAAAATCTCATAAAGTTAAACGTATAAATCATAATACATTGCTACATTAAATCGGAAAAAAGTAACACAGCATTTAAGCGTTGAATGATAAATTTTAAATAATGAAATAATAATTATATAAATAGAATGGCAAATTCAATAGGAAGCTTGTGCAATACCATTAAAAAAAATTATTCTCCTTTATCGAAGGTTAAAACATTATTAAGAGTTTAAAAAATCACATTATCAAGGACCTCGAATTTTCTATTTGTCAATTCGTAACAAATTTATAAATATTTCTTATGTATTTGCACACTGACGCCCACTTAAATCGAAGAACGTGTTAATCTATTTAAATAAAGAAGATTGAGTTTCTTGGGTCGATAAATATCAAACGTAGATTAATATTTAAATGATAGATTTACCATATTTTCACAAATAATATTATAGCAGACTTGAAAAATCTAAAAATTATTTAGTATTTTACCATTACATTATCCAATGTCATTTAATATATAATAATATTAATAATAATTTCACTGGAAAACCTTGTAAAATAATTGGCGTCTTACTAGTGCATAAGCTTATAAAATAAATCTTTTAATAAATATTTACGTATTTAATAAATTTTATAAATTTTATAAATTTTATAGCAAACAATTTGCGGATAATTATGTTAAGAAAAACTTTCTCGATGTTAAGTGAAACAATTGTAGATTTATTAGGAAATTGTATAAAACCGTAATTAGAAGTGACTACCGTCACCGTTCAATACGATAAATAAATAAATTTACAATAAATATAATATGGTATATTTTCGTATGGCCATAAAAAAATAAATATTTAAAAAAAAAAAAAAAAAAGAAAGAGAGAGAGAGAGAGAGAGAAAAGAAAAAAACAAAGGAAAGGAACCGATGATTTTCAAAAAACGTGTTAAGACCTGTTTACGTTCGCATTCATTTTAATGGAAATAACGAACTTAGAATCGTCACGTCATCCAACGATCGTAACTTGTCGTTCCAAGCGAACAGACCTTACCAGTTACCCAGATGGTTAGTGTGCATAAACATGGCGGACCCGTTAAGTTTGCTTCGCCAGTATAATGTTAATAAAAAAGAAATTATTGAACGTGATAAACAAATTATATTTGGTGAATTTTCATGGCCGAAGAACGTTAAAACAAATTATTTGACATACGGGTGAGAACTTAAAACACAGTGGCTAAAATTTTATTTTCGGCGAATTTTATCACAACACACCTGCATCTGGTGCAACATTCGTTTCTAGAAGCATATTTGTAAACAATGCGTGTTTTATCGCTTCATCATAGAGTTTTCAGTGAAATATTACTTATTTTCAAAGTTTAGCGTATTTTTCAATTTCTTTCGGCTTTACTGTACGTCTACTTTGTATTAACATTGCATTTTTATCATTACTATTAATTATGACATAACTTTAGTTTTATTTTTATTAACTACCATACGGAATGAAACTGAGTTAAATGTTAAACAATTCTCTTATATTTAGAAAGTGTTTTAATCAAATTACTAATTTACTTTATTTATCATTATTTATATTTATTTTCAAATGAGTTTTGTTAATTCTTTTTGAAGAATGTTAGGATTCATTAACTGTATGATGAACGTGAATTAATTATATTATTTTTTTACATTTTGTTTCTGATGATTTTGATTTTTGTTTGATTGAATTGAAACAATAGAAGAATTTTATATATACATTCTAAAACTCATGCTATTAATAATTTCTTGTAAATTACATTATAATAATAAACATTATTTTTCTGTAAATTTTTAGATTTTAGATTAGCATTTCCATATGTACATACATTAAAATCAATCTTTGTAATTGAAACAAATAGTTTGTAAGAGGAATTTTTTTTTAATTTTACCTCATTACCATTATTAATACTTAATAGGTGTTTTGTAATAAAATTGTCACTATTCAACGAATTTCAGATTATCAAAGTATACTTGAAGGAGTATAAACAGTATTTTAAAAATATTTTTGAAAAAATTGCAAGCCTTTACACACGTGACAGATAACTTTGTTAAACTATTCTAATTGTTTGTACGAAAAATATAAGAAATAACGAGAAACTAAATTTTGTTAATAGGTCTGGCAAAGAAGGTGCTCCAAAGGAATATTATACACTTGAGTGTCTGCTTTTTTTACTGAAACATGTTCAACTTACACATCCTGTGTATGTGCGGCAGGCAGCTACTGAAAATATTCCAGTTGTGCGTCGACCAGATAGAAAAGATTTATTGGCATATTTAAATGGTGAAACAGCGACTTCGGTTGCCATTGATAAGTCAGCTCCTCTTGAAATCCCTACACAAGTGAAACGAGCTGCCGAAGATGGATTGGAAAGTGGATCTTCAAAGAAGCCTCGCTTTGAAGAGACACACGTTCAAAAAGTCAAAGAACAATTGGCTGCAAGATTGGATGCTCCTAAAGAAGCATCCGTTACCGTTGAAAATATTAAATCGCTTTCAGAAGCAATGTCTGTTGAAAAAATTGCTGCAATTAAAGCTAAACGACTTGCTAAAAAACGTACTACTATTAAGGAAAATGATGACATTGGAATGGGTTCAGATCTCCGTGTTATTTTGGATATGGATGTTGATGACACGAAGGATATTGTTTCGAGAGAACGACAGTGGCGAACAAGGACAACTATTTTACAAAGTAGTGGAAAGGTATATTTATTTATATCTAATCGGAAATTTAAATCTAATTTTTTTTACAAATTTCTTACTATGTTAAAATAAGTGTAAAAATACATAATTGAAAGTCTGTAGCAGTTTTTTTTTTTTTTCTTTCTAAACGTAATAAACACTTTGTAAACAATATTCTTTATTTAGTGTAAAACAAAATCTTATCTCTATTGTATTAATAGACCATCGACTACTGAATTTTTCTTTCAAAACAATTAAATAGTATATAATAATCTATGTACAAAATGTTTATGAACTACAAATGTAAATAAAGAATAAATAAAGAATGAAAAGTGCTTGATACTTTAGCTTAATGAAAATGGAAACTTTTACTGGGATTTCTGTTAAAATTTTTATTATATTTAGGTATTTGCAAAAAATATCTTTGCGATATTACAAAGTATTAAAGCAAGAGAAGAAGGCAGACAGAAGGGTCCAATGGTTCCAACCCCAATGGTCACGCCACGTTCAACTCCAATGAGACCATTGCCACAACCAGCCGTATATAATCGTTACGATCAGGAACGATTTATTCGTCAGAAAGAAGAAACCGAAGGATTTAAAATTGATACTATGGGAACATACCATGGAATGACGTTAAAGTCCGTAACAGAAGGAACAAATCCAGCTATTAGGAAACCCTCGCCAACTTCTTGTATGTATTTAAATATTCATTTGGTTAGTTAGAGTCATGACTTTTATCAAATAAACATTGCTTTTGATGTAAGAATCGCCAACGTGTTCATTTAGATATAACATTAGTTGAATTTTGTTGTATTTCTATAAACATTAAACCACAAGCTTCGTACATTTTTTTACAAACTTAATGATCCCTACTGGACGAAATCTAAGTAAATCTTTACCGTATAAAAGTTCCTATGTGAGTTCCTATATGTTTCTATATAATAATACTGACATGTACTAAATAGTCAAAAAAAAAAAGAAAAAAAAAAGAAAAGAGAAAAAATTAATAAGATATTTGATAATGATAATAAAGATAGAAATGACATTTGTATGATAGTTTTCGATCATAATCTAACTTTCCCTTAAATAGATGTACAACAAATGACAACAAACGTTTGTATGAACGTGACGATTCATGCGTAATTAGACCCGTAACGAGTACTACAATTTGTAGTATAATTATACGATATTTTATTATCGCGTTTATTATTCAAGCGTACAATTGTCGTTTTCAGCTGGAAATCCAAGTGCAACGCCAACATCCGGCCTCCTACCGACCTCAGCTGCTAAACTGACGCCACAGCAAGCGGCCCAGAACAAGCGACCAAGCCGCACACCCATCATCATCATTCCCAGTGCCAATACGTCACTCATTACAATGTACAATGCCAAGGACATACTACAAGACTTGAAATATATTTCGAATGAAGATAAGCGTGCAATGGGCTGGAAGCGTGAGAATGAAGTTTTATTGCAGAGGCGCAAGGATGCCGGCTTCACCGTGCCATATCGTGTTGTTGATAATCCTCAAAAGCTCACGAACGCTGATTGGGAAAGATGGGGCCGGCCTGGCAATTTAAGGGATGGCCCTTCGACGGCAATCCCGTAGAAATATTTTCCAAGGGTGATTAATTAACCTTTAAATATTTCTTTGGAAAGATATATCTGCAAACTAAAATTCTCTATCATAATGAAAATGACGGTTATTGACTTTTAACTATCAATGCAAGGGACATATAAAACTAACCGATATAATAAATAATCAAGATATTTTAGCCATTAATTATAGTCAATTCAAGGTCAATAATATTACCATGAAATATTTTGTTAATTGTAGTTCGAAAAAAAAAAAAAAAATAATAATAATAATAATAATAATAATAATAATAATAAGACAAATGGAATATAACGTTGAAATTCTTATTGCAGTATGTGCATTTCATATAAAATACGATGAAATGCGTATCGATGCAAATGTTGCTCGTTGGGCTGTTACGGTTATTGAGCTCAGCAAGACTAAAAGGCATTTGGACAGAGCAGCCATAATGAAATTTTGGGAAGTCCTAGATAAGTAAGTAGGATTTAGATGAAAATAATTTTATATGAAAATTGAAGAAAAAAAAAACATGAAAATTCGCGTGTTGTTACTGTAAAAGCTAAAAATTTTATTAGCTACTTTAAAAAATTATTAGCTACAGTGGTGACAAAAAAAATTCTATTACGTAAATAATTGAAAGTAATAAAAATATATTTTTCTTATTTTTAGGCACATGATTAAGCATAAGGCACATCTGCGATTCTAAATACAGTAATAAAACACCATGTACATATATTTTATGGAATAAAAGATGCTGGGAAGAAAGTGTATGCATCATCGCGTTGAGCTGCTGCGCCTTAATCGAATTCGTCAATCTTATTGAGCTCAGCGCGCGCGCACGCGCCCGCATATAATGTGTATACATCTGTATGCTTGTAATGTAAAAGTGTATGGGAAAGTGTGCGTGAATTTAATTTAGTTTAGTTTCCGGCGGCAAAAAGTTAAAGGGCGATACGCTGGGTGTAATTCAAGTCACGGTAAATCTACAAAAGTCACGGTGAAATCATAATGCTTTACTCTCCGTGTACTTTAGTTTTCCATCTCACTTTCGTGCCCATAGGAAATCGTTAAAACAAACCCCTGCGGTCATTCACTTGTTTATACATCCGATCAAATCTTTCTAACTCGATTTCCCTGGCCTCGTTTCGATTTATTGTTCTTTCCATTCTTCGCGTAAATACATAAATATATATATATATATATATGTATGTATGTATGTATGTATGTATGTATGTATGCAAGCATATATGCGTATAAATATGTGTATACTTTTGCATGTGCATATTTATATATATATATATATATATATATATATATATATATATATATAGTACAGTTTTATTTACACGTTCAATTGGTAGCTTGAAATTGTCTTTCTAATACGATATTATACGCATCCTCGCGCATGTTCGCACTTCCAATTTATCAATTACTCTACCATTTTCAAATTCAAATATTGAATTTACTTCTAAATAGATAATGAGTAAATATGACGAATAATAAAAATTTAAAGTAATTTTAAAATTTTATTAATTTAATTTAATAATATTGACTTTGATAAGATAATGAAAAATCATTGCCGCTTATTTGCTATTATTACTACCCTAATTAAGAGTTTGTGAGTGCATGGTGGAATTGTTCGTAGTATGAAATTTGCCTGTCTGATGAAAGAAATTGTGTTATTAGTGCGTATAGACGCCATTGCAACATACCTGTCTAATTCAGTCTGTTAGTTCTTCCTAAAGAAATGTATTGTATATAATGTGTTCAGGAATGAAACATGGAAAAAGCAATTATTATCATAAATGTAATTTAATTATTTAGTAACAGTTTTAAACGATTACAAAAATTTATTGGAGAAACCTTTTTTGAATAAAAATTTTCAAGATTGCAACTATTATTCATTAGTCTATACTCAATAAAAACCCTCCTCTTATTCACTTTATGTTCACGAAATCATCTATTCATCTATTGCACGATCTACCGATATCACGTCAATCGTAAATCTTTTTAAATTATTAAAAATATAAAACATATTTGCAATTTAACTATGGTCTTTAGTAAGGTAAGATACTTGAGCGTGTGCGTGAGTTATTGGAGAAGGAAGAAATCTTCAGTAAGTTGAAATATGTTATAAGAGTTATTGATTAATTAAAAAAATAAATAAATACCTAAAAGTTATTCTTATGTATATATGGGTGTGCGTGTGTGCGTGTGTGCGTGTGTGCGCGTGTGCTTGTGATTGTGCGTGCGCTCGTGCGTATATTATTCTTTCGTATCATAGCTTACGCACGCAGTGAGTCTGCAAAAAATCAATAATCGAAACGCTAAAGTTTCATCGGAAACTTATAATTACCATTAGTACATTGCAATGACAGTGGTCGGTGTGGAGAAGGGCGAGCGGATAGGGGATGGAAAAAAAATTTCAATCACCACACAATAGCAGATTAATTAATACGTCTCGTTTATTTTCGTGATCTAATGATAATTATAAATTTGAAATGGCCCACCGCTGAATCGATGATTACACGGAATTTTTTTTTCAATTAAGGACATTCATAAGTGTACTTGTAGCAAAGAAAGCAGTTGGGCTGCACGCAAGGTATCCGCGGAATGAAGGACGGCAAATGAAAGATGGGCCTTTGGGGTAGCTGTGGCTGCGGCTGCTGCAATCCTGCCTCGAAGATGTTTCGTTCGTAGACGGTTGGCTTGCCTCGGGCGTAGCCGGCGGTGCAGACTTCGAGGCTCCTTGGTACAGAGTCGGATACGACGTTGAGGAAACAGCATCCCTGTTGTGGGACAGCCAAATAGACGATCGATTAATTGGCTGCTGGGAAAGAGAGCGTAACCGGATTTTTTTTTCTGCAGAGTCAATTGCAAGAAAAATTCGAGACTAACTTTGGGCTGAAGTGTAATTAGATCTAATGCGCGCGTGCGGCTCGTGATTTTGCGAAATTGAGTGTGGGCGCGCGGATGCTGGATAGTAATGAGGAACGGGAGTGCTCAACTGGGAGAGTTGAAACGATTGTGGTATTTGGATTTCATTGATATTTAATTTCCCGTCAAAATTTATTACACGACTCGTCGCAAAGCCGGGATGCATTGATTCGGAAATTGGGTCTGGATGACGAGCGCCGACTACCGGGAAAGATCCGCTTTAAGACATTAAAGATCAAAGATGGGTGGAAAATTGATTCTAATAATTAATCATTATTAATGGCTCTATAATCTACTACTACCTTTTCATTTTCGTAATTATCGACTTGTATTTTGGTCTTTAATTGTCGTTAACCTAATTTTGTAATTAATAAGTATTTTCTATTAATTTTGCCCGTTTAATTCGCAAATGATAGAATGAGGAAGGGTATAGAGCAAAATGTGATGACGATACGATGAAGAAATAATGACTTTTGAAAATTGTATAACTACCATCTACGATAAATATCATGATTTGTTATAAATGAAGAATGAAAGCATCGTTGACAGAATCAAAAGAATTTATTAATTAGGAAAGACTAATAATAATTTATTTGGTAAAATTTCACAATACAGGAGAAATAGTATCCGAGTGTAGAAACCAAAAATATAATTTAATTAAAGCTTTTTCCATTAAAGTACTTTTAAACGAGCATTAATTCTATAAAGTAAAATCTGATGGAAATTAGCCAGAGAAATTAAAGAGAGCGCGATCTGAAAAGGAAAACATACAGTATATTATAGGTATTATATGCGATCATGAGAGAGAGAGAGAGAGAGAGATTTGAAAAAATAGCATAATCAATGTATCCTACTGAGCTTCTAGTCAATTCATAACTTATGCGTTACAATCCGATTTTAAGAATAACCGACTATTTATGATAAAAGCAATACAGAATAAACAATACGTGGGGATTGAAACAACGAATGATTTACATGTTTTACATGATTTTTTTTTTTTTTTTTTTTTTTTTTTTTTTTTTTTTTTTTTTTTTTTTTTAATAATTAACTTATTTTGCACGGATGATGTATAAAAGAATATACTACTTTATAAAACTTGAAAAAGTTGATAAGGTAGAGCATCGACTATTGGAATAAGTTGTTCGATGATCGTAAGAAACCAGCAGCTCAATAACAAAAATATAACGTAATTAATAAAAATCTTTAAAAAAATACGATAAATCTAGAATTTTAATATATTCTAATGATTCATTTATAATCAAAGCAATTTTAATGAATACATATTCGGTTCATCATATGCATATTATCTTTATATATTATTATAAGTATAAGATTTAAATAAAAATTATATATATATATATATATATATATATGTAATTGATTATATTACGTAATATTGTAAGTAGAGTTACAACTAGTAAAAGGTCTACTGGTTAAAATTTTCCAGTTATTATAAATTTTAAAGGTCTCGCTCTCATTAGTTTGAATAAAAGTACTGCAACGTTAATAATACACGTTGTATTGTAGATTAAAAGAGGCTAATGTATTTACTTATTTGACATGTAATCGGAAGCGCGCGATTTTTCGACGTGTGCATACAAGCTACGATTTACGACTCTGCACGCGGTTTTACATAAGTCCAACGAAAATTCCTCCAGTTGATTCGCGATGTATTAAACGGTGCAAAGTTATTCACCCATCATTTGATTAAAAATAAAACGTTTTCCTCGTATTAACAAACTTTATATATCTCTCTCTCTCTCTCTCTCTCTCTCTATATATATATATATATATATATATATATCGCTTCCTTTCGTTGGCTCGCGCGCGCTTGACAAGCCGCGTGTGGAAGATGGAGAGACAAATTCGATAGGGCTCACTACTACTTACTAGCTGGCTATCGGCATGAAGTTTTGCCGAGTAAAGTGGCGGCAACGCGTAAGCGTCGCTCGACCTTTCCAGAGGAATTTGCATGGTGGCCACATCGGCTGCGATTTGTCGCGCAGCCGTGGACGACACGACACCCTCGTCGGGCTGCCGCGATTGCGCGATTGCGGGCGGGTGGAAGGCCGAGGTGCACTCCTTGTCGCTGGAAAAGTATTCGATGGCCTTGAGCAGATCTTGCTCGCAGCGCTGAAGCACCAGCTGCAAAACCGACAGCTTCGTCCCTGGAAACAGACGCGCCAAAGTGTCGATCGACGATTGCGAGATTATCCCCGAGGATTTGCTCGTGGGATTAGATGCCGGTGAGATCGGTCCTAGCTTATCCATATCCTCCAATTGCGAGCACTGCTCCAATAGATAAGCCATCATTCACTTTGATTTCAGCGTGTGACACATCTTACGACTAAGCGATAATTTCAATGCACGTGTGCGCGCGTATTTCTATCTCATATAACGGCGACTATATTTAAATTTTGACTATATTTAAATTTGGAATTTTCAAGGATACGACTATGGCGCGCGATATTTGTTAAAAATTGACTTATCGAGCTGTTATATTTGTTAATTTGTGCAGAGTCGGTGGGTAGTCTTGTTATAAAAAATATTCTATTAAACTAATGTACCCATTGATACGGGCGCGCGCGCACACGTGAACACATAATACACAGAAGACAAGAGCAAAAGTCGAAGAATTATAGTGTAAGTGAATTACTGTATTTCTATTTTTTTTTTTTTTTTTTTTTTTTTTTTTTTTTTTTTTTTTTTTTTTAACAAACCAGTATCATCTTCGCTTTTGTCATATGATATTCTTGACTGAATACGTATGATAAATAAGTTATTTTACCTTTAGCGTTTTCCTCGACGATCTAGATAAATTCGAAAGATTATTAGTATCGTTTTGTTCTCGGTCGATATTTTTCGCTACACTGCCGTATATTGTATCTACAGAAGAATCATTGGTTGAATTTAGCTTTGATCTGTTGTTGTATGTGTCTGGATCTGTTACGGTCATACCAAAGATTTTTCCTGGTGGCAGACGACTCATTTTCTGGCCAGTTGTCACTTTAGCCATACTCAGTGCAATTGCGTCTTCGGCTGCTTGTTGCCTTTTTAATGCAACCTTAAAAGATAAATGGAAAAAACATTGTTCATTGTTCTCAGTTGCCCGTCCAACGTCGTGGAAATTTTAATTTCTTCCAAATTTAATGAATTTTAATAAATCGCGTCCGTTCCGTACATTCCGTCAAACTACGCCAAATTCCCCGCTCCTGCTAATAATTATCATTTTACGAGAAGTCAGTTTTTTCCGTCACCCTACACTACATTACAATCTATTTTTATCGATCATTTACATCGCACCATCTATCAAATATGAGTTATTGATAATTTTTATAAACGAAAATTTATTATACGCCCTCTTTCAGTCAATAATCATACTTTCGACGTTTACTAACATCAACAATGTCTAATCGATGCCCTCGTTCATATAGGCGAGTATCGTATCAAAATCCAATCTATTTAAAGTGTAGAGACTTCAATACAATACAGCGACACGAAAATCTCTCGACAAAGTGCTACGAAGAATATATCAAGTCTTACGTGAGCTGCCATCGTCATCATAATCCCCCATTGGTAAGAGATCGGGTGTCGTAATGCTCGTGTAAACAGAAATGAAAATCAACACCGTATGTCATGTTAATGGATTCGACTCTTCTGCAAGGATTGAATCGTTTGTTTGCCGTCTCCCTCACATTCTACTATTGACCATCAACAGTATCTCATATCTTTCTTTTCTATTTTTACTCGAAATTTTTAATAAACCTTTAATCTGATTTCGGATCTTATGACGTATACATAAATTGCATAAATTTTAAGATTATTATATTATATTATATTATGTAGCATATATATTTAGGTTATTCTATTTTATTATAAAATATATTACCATTTATTGTATTAAATTATATTTTACTATATTACAATGTTGCATTAAATGCTTTCTCCTATATTTCGTTAAACAATATTTTTCCTTCGTATATGATATCTTAATCTGAATATTATTATATTTTCTATTAGTTTTACATTAGTCTAATAATTTAACTTCTTTTCAATTTCCGAAAAATGTTGATAGACGATAAAAAATTATAATATTCTTTTACGTTAGATATTCTATATTTTATACTACATTAAAATGATAATTATTTCATTACAAATACTATTATCGGCAGAAAGTATTAAAAATTGTTAAACATATTTCTTGATTATTCAATACTTATACATAATTTTTAAAAATCATTATTTATAATTCTAATATTAATATAAAACTAATAGAAAATGAGAGGATAATCTATTTGATATTTATATACTTAATTAGATTTATTTTTTATATGTTGAAGAGTAAACATAATACGATAATTTAATGAGAAGTAATTTATAATTCTACTATAGCTGTTATTTATAAATTCTATTCGCGTGGTATTTAATCAAATATTGATATAAGCACAATATTTGTTCAATGTGTGCGTGATCTTGTGGACAACTTATAACTATATAATTTCATTAAATTTAAATATATATATATATATATAGGTATATTATTATTTGTCTGCAAGATCACGCAAACTTTTAAATATCTGTTTATATTAATATTAATACGTGTGCGTGCGCGCGCGCGTGTGCGTGTGTGTATTAACTAAAACTATTGTCTATTTTAAATATGTATCTTATTTAAGAACCAAATTAATTGCTTAAACATTTTTATCAGCAATTTCCTTGTCCATTATTATAATTAAATGAATATCACAATGAATATATATATATATGTATATATATATATATATATATATATAAATTGTTTTTAATATCTCTCAGATTCTTAATTGTAAATAATATTTCAATTTATCTATATTAAAAACTGAAATGTTATACGAGTAAAATTTTTATCATAAGCATTAATTCACTATTAATTTTAAAAACGTATGCTTAATATCAATAGATTTGATAGCGTCTCCCTTAAAACTTAATCATAATTTTCTTCTTCGTTATCCTTAAAAAATAGTGACGATCTTATATATTGACATTCTAATCTTACATTCAAAAATTATTTTCGAAGGGGGTTAATTTCATTGTTATCATTGCGCGTCTCGATAACGTTGAACACATATTAGTCAATAACTTCGACTTGATTTATTAATTATAAGTTGAAAAATGATAACCATGAATAAAGCAGAACATGACTTCTATTTTTACTACTATTTTTTTGAAGGAGTGCGTGTCCTAATCTTGAAAATCAAGACATTCTCCTTCGATCCACGAAGATTTCACGATTAAACCGCAATAATTTGCCGGTCATAAGTTACGGGACGCGTAATTCCTTACCTGAGCAGCCATTACTCGTTGCCTTTCAGCAATCAGCGAACATTTCGGACAAAAACAATCACGATATCGACATTCCCTCTTGTGACCTCTCAGCCACGAGATAAGCCCGTGATTTCTGCACCTCGCGCATTTCGGTCTCCGCTGCTTCAGCTCCTCGCACGCATCCTTTTCCTCCTCTATCTTTTTCGGCTTCCCTCGTAACATGACTTTCCCAATCCGCTAATTTACGTATCACTAAATTTTCAATTGCCGAACTGATTTTATTTTCGCCATTCTTAGAAATTTTTACGTACCTAGTGGTCGCTTTGGAGGCGACGGAGGGAACGGTTTATCTGTTCTCGGCATAAAGCGAAGCAAGTATAATGACAAATTGTTTCAGTAAAAAAAAAAAAATAATCCGATGGTTTGAAACAAGCAAGGTCGCCTTATGAATACCAACATACCTAATCTTAAAGATCTTGCAATCGATATTCAAGCACCCAATTGCAAACGTGAGAAAAGCTTGAATTAGAATTAGGCATCTTATTCGTCAAGAGTTGAAAATATTCTTTACTAATCTCTGAAAAACAAAAAAAAAAAACAAAAAAAAAAAACAAAAAAAAAAGCAAAAAAGCAAAAAAAAAAAAAAAACAAAAAAACAAAAAACAAAAACAAAAAACAAAAACAAAAACAAAAAAATCGCTCTAAATAAAACGCTTCGAAGTAACGAAGGACAATAAACCTAGGAAATGAACGATAAGCCAACGATCCGTGATAACGAGGAACATTTGCACGAGTAAAGGAGTCGCGAATGTAACAAGGAGAATTGAAGCTGAAGAATCGGGCGGCAACCGAGACTGCTGTGCGCGCAATCGGACCAACCCCCGATGTAAGGGGTGAGCCAGCGTTGATTTTCTCAGGAGCACGAGACTCGTCGATTGGCTCCTTCTCTATTTGCCTTCCACGCCTACGTGCCATGTATATATATACTTGCACTGATCTTACATTCAATAAATGTGTATTGCGGTAAATATCGCTTTAATGCTCGGGAGCATTGATGTATCGTTGGGCTTTTCTTTCGGATTCCTTTGTTCCTCCCTTCTTGCATCGCATATGATCTTCTAAATGCATTACTTCTTATTGCTAATTTCGAAAAGACTATTATTTCGCCACTACTCTAACGAAGATGGATGTATGATTGAATAACCAAATACGATTATGATATTTTACGTAAAGTGAAATAATTGACACGTTTAATTTACTTTAATAAACGTTTATACGGTTAGCAGATAGTAAATATCTAATTAATTTTATAGAGACGTTTAATATGAACAATTTTAAGAAATACGGAAACGGCTAAACTAATATTATTTACAATTTACAAAGGATTTATGTCCATTTGTATAATTTATAAAAAAAAAAAAAAAAAAAAAAAAAAAAAATGAGAAAATCAACAGATATGACAGTAAATTGATGATTATAATAATAAAATTATCGATATAAAAGACGATAAATATCGGTAAAAAACATATATTGTCATTTAATATTAAGCATTCGTGAAACATATTTTCCCGTAAGCTATATATAAAAACATAAATTTTCAATTTAATACGCTTGCTTATTAAAAACTATAAAGAGATATAATAAACCCATAATAATAATGTAAACTAATAATATTGAGATCAGTAATAATATCAATGACAATAATTATAACAATAATTAAATATATGCATGATAAAAACTATAATCGTCGTAGAAAAATTAAGTATATAATTATTGTAATCCGACTGAATTACCACTGACTAGAAATAAATAAAAAAGACTTCAAATAAAATAAATTTACTTTATTTTATTAAATAATTATTCTCATTTTAGAAATATAATAATAGAAATTATATATATATATATATATATATATATATATATATATAGTAAATAAAAAAATGCGACTTTCTTCGGTCGTTAATACAAAGAAATTCCTAACTAACGAAACAATAACAATATTTATCATCGAAAATAACAGACAGACAAAGAATAAAAATTATGGTATATTTTATCAAATATTGTTTGTGTATTTGTGAATACATATGCATTGTAATTAAAAGTATTAAATGAAAGTCAATAAATTGTTTAAAAATGAAAGGGAAATTATTTTAATAAAAATAAATAATTGTTACATTTTATTTCATTATTTATACTTTACTTAAAATAACCATATACCTTGAAATACACATTATTCTCGCTAAATATTTGTTTATTTATAAATATTCGATTTATCAATTAAAAATACTATTATTATATATACTTTCCATCTGTAAAGACGAATAAAATGATTGTCATTCATATATATAATAAATTCTTTTAATGCGTAATTTTTTTATTTAATTTATTAAGTGTTTAACCTTCAAAAAAACATTTAAAGTTCATCTTGATATATCTATGTAATGTTGATGAATCATAAATTTGATTTTAATATAAATAATAATAATTACTTTTCGCATTATAGAATAAGTCATCTTGGCCAAAATAACAACAAATTATATGTTTATTGACTAAATTACTTTTACATTTACATTTGAAAATTTATAAAAATAGTTTTTAATGTTAAATATACAATAAAAAGCTTGTAGTGAGATAAAAAAAGAAAGAAAAAAAGAGGAAGCATAAAAAAAAGGTAAGTAGATATCGGGATGTGTATTGCCAAAATACAGATTATTTTTATCAATAATTAAAAATCGTATAATTTTTGTATATTCTTAATAGAGATTTATTTAATGTTCTTTTTTTTTTTTTTTTTTTTTTTTTTTTTTTTTCAGCCAATGTAGTGATCCAATAGAGCAACACAGTAAGCTCTTAACTTTTTTTTGTTTATTAGTCTTACATATTTTAATTCTGATATTCCAATAATATATTTGTCGAATGGGTCCCAATGCATAGCCTTCGCTCTTCCTTTACGATTTATCTATAAAGGCAAATATTTCATTTGCTAAATAATTTAATAATACGCTTAAAGCATCAACGGTTATTCTTGCTTGAATGATTTTTATTTTACTAGTGAAAAATAAAAACACTAATTGCTTATTTATTCGGCAATGAACCTTTCTTTCTTCCAATATCTCAATTTATTCATTTAATAACAAATGCAAGTAACAACGATTTTTTTTTTTTATTTTCTCAATACATTATCCCGTATTATTATCTAACAATGAAACTATGTCTGCCCAACAATCATAAATATGAAATAATAACGCCACATTGCATGTACTTATCTATTACACTAGACATATGAATTTATTTTATCATTAAATTGCTATATGTTGTTATCGAATACTCATCGATTATTACATCAATTAAAATGTTTCTCATGTAATTTTTATTATGGAGCATTTTCAACTTGAAAACGTGTGCGTCGAGTTACAGGTAATGAACAAAATTACATGCGTAGATGAAGAATTCGTTGAGATTTACGCTGGATATCGCATTAATATTAAAAAATATAAATAACATGCTGCTTCATCTATTATAATACATATAAATAATACATTATATTCCTTTCGTTAAAATTAAAATATAAAATAAATAGAATTATCGTGTTACAGTTTTTAACAATGCCAAACAACGTGGGTGTAGATTGCGCGATCTCGCTTTAAAAAGTTCCATTATTACGATCGAGTCCGTAACATTTTCTTCAATAAAAAGTAAAAATATAACAATTTCTCACTAGCATACTATGTATCTATAATATACATAAGTGTTTAAGTACTGGCTTATCTACTACATATAAAATAATGACGTCATAGATACGACTGAATAAGACCATACGATATATGTATTTATTTATTCAACAAAATTTATCGATATATATTTATGGATATTATTTAAAAAAAATGTTGAAAATGTTTCTCGTTCATTTATAATTATTATGAAAGCGTTTTTTACAATCAAATATTTTGTATAATCATTAGAATTAGATCTTAAAAAAAAAAGGCTAAATTGTATATTAATATTTTTGTTCTTCCTTTTGTTTCACAACAAATACGTTGATAATTTTATGTTTGCCTGTACCTCTTCTTTGTGATAATCAGTAAATCTGTTATAGTATATATGCAATGATATGTAATGGTTGCAAATTTATTGTTGTACTTTTGAATTGTGGAAAGAAGTCGATATAATTTTTTTAGTTTTTTTGTTTTTTTGTTTTTTTGTTTTTTGTTTTTTTTTTTATTCTTGACTTAAACATGTGTATTAAACTTTAAATTTTATTTATTATAAATTTTATCACTATAAACGCAATAACTAAGAAAATATTAAATAAAAAGGAGGAGCTCGATTTCAATTATTACTTAAATGTCTATGTGATTAACATTTGATATTTCTAAAGATTAAAAACTGACATCAATTCTAATTAAGATGTTTGTAAATATTTTAAAATACATTCAATACTATTCGAAAAAAATCTTAAAAGTAGTAAACTAATGTGCCATATTTAAAATTATTTTCAAAATTTAATCCTTAGAAATAATGGATTATAATAGTAAGGCCTATTTATTATAATTAATTAAATTGATCAACAAAATTTTTTTTCCTTATTTTCAACTATTATTAATATATATGTATAATAATAATAATAATAATAGTAGTAATAATAATAATAATAATAATAATAATAATGATAATAATAATAATAATAATAATTTATAAGATAATAAATATGTGAAATTTTAGCTTTTTACTTTTATAAATCTACGTAGAGGAAAAATGTTAAAAGGACTTTTTAGATGTTGTAATTATTGCTAAAATTAAATTGTATGCATATGTGTCTATCGGACAAGACTCAAATACACTTATTCGATATTTTTGTTAAGGTTATTGTATTATTAATAAAAAAAAAAAAAAAAAAAAATACTTAAATAAATTTGTATATAATATAATCACTAATATTTGATTTATTAATAATTATAATTCTGTAAAATACGATTTCTTTTTCGGTATAGTAGGAATCGTAAAAGTATTTTATCGGCGTATATATTCTCTACGCATATATGTGTCGTTGACTAGCAAGCGAAAAATGATATCTGAAAGCTTTAGAATTAAAAATCTTGCATGTCGCGCTCAATATTCTGTTTTACTTGCATCGCTTATCCTCTGTTTATTTTGAATTAATGAAGGTCCGCTAAATAGTTATAAAACAATGTAGAGCCAATGGTATTATAATTATGAAAAAT